GCCGCCGGGCTCGGTGCAGCGCCGAGCCCGCCGTGCCCAGCCGGACCCAAGTCCTGTAGCGAGGGCCCTTGTCCTGGAGGGGCCGCCGCTGGGTTTGTCATGGCATTTCCTGAGAGATTTAAAAAAAAAAAAATTGGAAGTTTCTGCTAAATTAAACATGAGAATAAATAATACAGGCGATGCGATGTCCCTTTGCTGATTTAACTGGATAACGTGCTGTATGAGCACCACAGATGTTCAGTTTTAGATGTTGTGCACAGCTTCATGTAAAAATACCTGCAGGGGGAAGAGGCTGGGGGCTCTGCCTGGCCCCCGAGCAGCAAGGAGGGATGATTATTCTGGAGGCAGACTGGGAACTTCCCATAACTGCACTAGCTGAACGTTTTGCCTGCAATAAAGTGCCATCAATGGGGTGTCAGTAGCCAGGTGTAAACCCTTGGTGCTATGTTCCAGCATCCGTTTCAAATGAAACGGTTTATTCTGGTTCAGAGCATTTGAAGGCATAGGGAGAAAATGCCACATTGCTTGCTGCTTATTTAGCTTTTGAAGGCTTTCCTTACACCCCTACAGGTGCAGTAAGTCTTAGATCCCAAAAGCACTTTTGGCAACAAGTGGATTCTCCAGTCACGATAACCTGGTTATATTAGACCCTGCAGGAGCTAATCCTAAACCTTTCAGACAACCAAATGAGGAACTAAGCCAGATAAAGCAATGAAGGCCTCCGAGTGGCTGTGAAATTGAAGCCTCGGGGCTTTGCAGTCCTCCTCCGTGCTCTTTCCCGTGAATAACCGAATGGAGCCCAAGCCAGATCCGCAGGCTGGGAAGCTCCTTATCCCCCTCGGCGCCTGCTCTTCCCTGAGCCGCTGCTCTCTGTGCCGGCACGTGACGGGCAGCCAGCGTTCGCCACGTAGAGTGACAGGAGAGACTGTGGCTGTGAGGACAGCCACGGGGTGAACTAAGTTACTTTGGAGATGGTGAAATGCTTGGCTGTAAAAAAGTTCAGCACCGCCTCTGCTCATAATAGCTTAGTCTTCATTCCTTTCCCTTCTCTTAAGACAGATCTACTTATCCAAGCTGCGATATTTTCTGCCTATTTTGACCTGTCCTGGAAAAAAGCAATGACTTTCCTTCTAAAAATGTTACACTGGAATGTGAAAGATGGTTGACATAGGCAGATTTCCTCAGATAGAGTCTTTTTTTTTTTTGTTGTGGGGGGGGTTTTTAAAATTTGAAGATTTTGCACATTTGTCTAAGGCTTCTGTCCCAGTTTTGCAGCTGGTCTGCACACACATAGTAAATCCAACACACTTGGGGAAGACATCAGCTTTTTTTTTTATGTGAAGAACACCTGCTCAGATTTAGGAAATGAGGCCAGGATTTCCAGAGCACATCAGACTGAGAAAGCTGGAGGGTACACATGCTTAGTCCTGACTTGGGAAACACCAGCCAGAAATCTGGCAGCTGTAGAGTGGATCAAACAGCATTATTACAAATTCCAGTGGCCCAGAAGAGATCCTGGGTTCTCCTTACCAGGAAAATATCAAGTAGTCACTTTTACTGATTTTATTTCAAAAGTTGTCTTTATTCTGTATGTATTAGCAGGTGTTCATCTGTAAGCTTCTCTCAGATTTATCCTGTGTACCATGCAGCATCCAGGATAATTCCTAAGACATATTTTTGGCTAAGATTTTATTTTCCTCAAACTGAGACACATATTTTCTGTCCTGTGGAATAAACGCAAAAGATGTAGTGGTTGTTCAGCAACTTGTGTTTCAAACATCATTATTTATTAACATTTTCCATTTCCCTCATGGCTTTTGGATTCAAGTTACACCAGGCCTAAGAAGTACACATCACATGGCTGCCTTTTCCTTCGTTGGGTGGGGAGAATTTTAACTTAGGCAATGCCTGTTATTATGCTACATGTTATCTGCTTATTTTCAAAATTTTGAGACTAGCAAGCTACAGCTCTTGCGATTTCAGGAAGGCCTTAGGAGATTTCAAAGGGTGTGAGCTACTACTATGGAAAGAAGGGTGAGATCTTCAGCTGCAGATGAGAAGCTAGTGGCCACCACAGTGCTCTCAGGTTACTGGAGCGAGTCCTAAACCGGAGCAGCTCAAAAGCCCTTGTAACTTGCGTTGGCCACTCACAGCCCAAAGGGACCAATAATTGGCAGAAAGGGGTCAGCAAAGGCATGGCTGAAAAACCCTGTAACCTCCCCGCCAGCCACAGCGCCCTGGTGGAGCAGCCAAGGACTGGGATCCCCCATGCTGCCCTCACTGCTGGGTTGCAAAGATCTCGTGTCTGGCCTTGCCATCTTTGAGTCTGGTTTGTGCCAGTGATGCAGCAGAAAGCAGAGTTCAACTGTAGAGCGTGATTCAGGATCTGAGCCAAGATCTAGGGAAATAGTCACATTTTGATTTAATCCAATATTATGAGCTTAACTACGAAAATAGGAACAAAACTAGTTACACAAAGTGCCCGATACTCACTTTTAGGGTCAAGAGCTGAATAAACAACTCTGACGTGACTCCCAGAACAGTTCTCATGATTATAAATGAAATGATTCATCATTTCATGTACTGTGTCAAGAGACCTGCTCTTCTGCAAACAGAAGCTATAGCCATGTGATGAATAGGCAGATGCTTTTTTATTATTCAAAGATACATTAACATGCATGATACCATCTATTTAAACTGTAGTCCTGCTTTTCATAAAGAGGGAAAGCTGAGGAAGGTATGTCTGTGTATATTGGAGCACGCTTTCACCTGTGACATCCTGGAAACAGCTTGAAGCAGGATGCCAAGAGCTGCTCAAACTGGGGCGTTGACAGGGCCAACCAGGGAGTCCTCAGGGCAACCTGACCCGGTTGTTCATAAGCAGCTGGTCCCACCAAGGGCACCCTTTCTAACAAAAATAAGTACAGGCTTGTGCTTTGTGGTTGGTCTCTTTCTTATCCTCTGCTGACAGGGAATAGCCAGCCTCCCTCTCAAGCTCCACAAGAAAAGGTCAGTATTTGATCTTTTTCTGGATTTTTTTCTGGATTTTGACTCCTGCCCCCTTCCAGAATAAAGAGGAGCTTTGTTGGTAGATTGCAAGCCTACTGGTCCAAGTAGAAAGATGATCTGTGCTCTATTTATGTTATTCCCTGTTAAGCTCTAAAGCTATACAGACTCTCCCTTACCCTTCAACGCCTCTTCATCAGCATGACTAAGGACAGGTTGTTCACCAATAAAGAAATGACCTTTGCTAGAAATAGCTATCATTATAAATCTCAGTTTCCCTGTCCTTCTGTATATGAGCCTGCAGAAATGTCACCGAGGAAGTCGACTAATTGGATTATGTCAAATTTGCAACAGCATTTAGCTTTTTGAGGCAATGGGCCGTGCACGTGAAGTTACCATTACATTTCAAACTTTCCTATATTTCTAGTTCCCATCAAAAGGTTGATCCTGTGTTAACAAAGGTAATGGAGAATTTGCACTGACCACAGTAGATTTGGGTGAAGTCCCATCTTCCTGTTCCCCAACATGTCTCACTAGCTAATTTGTAAGGACCTATACAATATAGGTCCTGCCTTAAGACTCAGTTCTGTAACAAGTAATGCTCTCCAAGCTCTGTGGCAGCACACTAGTCCAATTGTTCTTTTCCTTTTGTTTCTTCACATCCCAACAGTAATTTAACAAAAAACAACGATACACTTAGCACATCATAAAAATGTACACAGCAACAAAATCACAGCTTTTAATCCTCCCTTCTTCCTTTGTTTCTTGTTTGTTGCTGCAGGAATTCCACTCAGTTGACTTTTCACATGATCTGCTGACGCTCAACAGCCACTCTGTATTGGAGAAAAAGTGTTTGGAATATTCTCCCCCCTCTCCACTGCTAGATATTGGCTAGAATATTTTTTGGAGAGGGGTAAATGCTCCATTTTATTGTGCAATGAAAGCTTGACTGAGACTGGCAGCTGAGAAAAGGTGATGCCCACACTGCAGAATTAGATAGCCCAGTTACTATCCTAGCCTGTAATGGAAGCATGAGACTTCAGTGATACTCCTGTAACTCTTAAGGATGTATCACTAAGAATAAAAACATCACAAATGTTGACTTCTTTATCTACAGACCTGTGCAGCGTTTCTAGCCCAGGCCAGGCCCCAGCCTGAGGGACTGAGCTGTGCAAAGGCACAACACCCTGTTGCACCTCCTAGCCCAATGTCTGCCACCCTGAAGGGCAGCCTCACCTCAGCTCCGCCGCCAAGGGGTCATCTGCAGCCACCGGAGCTGGGTTAACTCACCAGCACCTCTCTTTTACAGCCTGTTCATTCAAAGCCAAGAGGCCTGGTTCAAAAAAGGGTGGCTGCAAGCCTTCCTCACCTGCCTTTCCTTTATTATCTCAGCCCTCTTGTCTGGCTGAAATTCCTCCTAAGCCACTTGGCGGTAAGGGGCACGTTGTATTTATCTGCAGCCTAGGTCAAGGACAGGAGTCACGTTCCTGAAACGCAGAAGCTCTAACGCAGGAGTTCAGCCTACAGAGCTAAGACGAAAGATAGGGTTTTGGTGGTGGAGACCCACAGGCTGCAGCCAGCGTCTCCCTCCTTCTGCATGGGAAAACTCTGGAATAGAAGTGCTTTCTCTGAAGGACTTTGCCCAAGCTTATTTTCAACTGCTCTCCTGGTAGTAAGCCTGCAACAGTCCAAATGAGTTTTGTCATTCACCTTTTCATATCCTTGAGGATTGTGTACATCTCATAGGTGGCCCCAGTTTCTCTCTTAAAAAAAGAAAAAGCCCATACTTCATCCACAAATAACAACTCTTTCAATCCTTTATCATGCTCAGTGCCTCCCGTACCTTTTCCAATTCTTCAATACCCTTCCTGTGTGGTCTCCCTGGCCTTTTCGCCAAGTGTAATTATGCTGGTATAGGACATCCTGCAGCACTAATGAGGTAAAGAATGCCTTTCTCCTTCTCTCTCTCTCTCTCTCTGTCTCTAAAAAAAAAAAAACAACAACCTAACGACAACAACAAATTGCTTAGCAAATAATCTAGCTGTTAATTTAATTTAAGATGCCCTTCAGGAATAATGATTCTCTGGAACTGTTCACTTTTTCTTATTTTGATAAATCTATCTTTCTTTTTTCCCCAATTCTTTTCAACTTTGAACACAGTCTTCTTTTTAAACATATTCTATTTTCATAACCTAATTGCTTGTTACACAAACTACCACCAACACTCCACAGAGACAGCTGAGAGGGTCAAGATTTAGACAAGAGAGGGGGGCACCACCTTTGGCCTCTATTTGGAAAACAAAAACAAAAACAAAAACCTCTCAGATAGGTATGGCAGCACAAGTGGAAAAGCAAGACCCTTTTTCCAAAGACACAGAACAAGAAGCTAAAGACCCTTTTCTAAGAGCCTGGGCATTAAAGAAGAGGTGGAGCAAGTTTGGAGGGAGTCTTGCTTCCTACCTCCGAAACGCACACCTGTTTAATACAGATCTGGAGCTGCTCGTTTCCAGCAGGTCAAACCTCTGATTAACCAGCAGTAGATGCCTCATTGAGGCATCTAAGGAAATTACAGGTTCAAAGGCAGGGAGGGCAGAGAGTGAAGGCTGTACAGTCCATACATTCTTTTTACTGAGATCCTGTTTATTAGAAAAGGAGTAACTGGACATGCAGTCAATGGAGAATACTGTACCAGAAAAAAGTTAACCCTTTTAACTGTATTTCTGTAACTCTGCATGAATACCAGAGGAATCATAAAATATAATGCAGCTGTCTCCAAAGATTATGCAGGAAATTCCTCTTTGCCCAAACATCTTATCGTATGTTGTCTTTAAAGAGAATGCCTAGTTAACTTTGGATCTGCGCCATCAGTCATCCCCACAGTATATTCGTAACAGAGGCATGCTTCCTTGGAGTAGATATATTAAAAATGCACAGACCATCATAGATCAAATCTGAGGCCCTCTTGGAAGCCTGTTTAAAGCAATTACCTTGCAGATGTGATAAGATCTATTATGCAAACCTGAATTTCTACTAGACTAAGAGAAAATTCATAGCTAACAACTTGCAAGACCAAAATCCCAAACATCATACAAGACATTCGTGCTTGATGAAAAAAACTTTGAAGTGCAGAGTCAGAATATGTACATGTAGCGTGGCCTTAGTCCTGCAGAAGTCTTACTGTTAGCAAAAGTTTAGGTACTGAAAATGAATCCCATGGACCTATTCATACATGCAAAGAAATTCAAGCGTTTGCAGGCCTTAGTGGTGGGTCTTGGGGAGATGTGAGACAGTACAGAAGAGAGAATCAAATCGGTCTTGAAAGGACAAGCAATTAACTGCATTGACAACCTGATTGCAAAGTTTCCTGCTCCAACATTTACAATCTCAGCAGCCATCCAGTTTAGATTTTGTTTCTACTTAATCTGGAACTGAAACAAAATAAGCACACCCAAGTTATGTAACTCCAGACTCAGAAACTGAACTTCAATACGTCCAGGTTAACACTTGTGGACTTAAACAGTGTTCTCAGTTATTTTGAACCAAGCGTATCACCTTAAATTGTCATCAAGCAATACTATGGGGCTACACAGGACCAACAGCTCAGAGATGCGTTCTAATTTCCCTGTAATTTTTCAAATCGTATATATATTAAAGTCACAAAGTCAGAAAATGCAGGGACAGTTAAATTGCAAAATGCTGCATGCAATAATACTCTTCATCAATATAAAAGGGTGCAAGTTTACTTACTAGGTGCTCCACAGACTATGCATCATCCCACGCAGAAAAGGTACCTCTCCCAAGTGGTCCTGGCGCTATGGTAAGAGAGCATTCTGGTCCATATGCTCCGGCAGGGGTGTGGGCTGAAATCCATCTGGTGATTAGTCATTAAATACTTCCAAGACATAAAACAGCATTCCTTTACCACCTCAAACTCTGCCTACTGTTGGCAGCCCCAGCACCATGAAAAAAAAGTACAAATGTTAACTCATTCAAGCAGTGGTGCTTTTACT